TCTCTTGTGGCTATACAAAACGCAAGATGGATGGCGAAAGCTATATATATATTAAAAAAGTGTATATTTAGGAAAAAGTTCAAATTACTTACAGAAGAAGAAATTGCCGATATAAGTATATTTATTATTAAAGTGTATGTTAAAGTATGGTATAATGCTTCGTTATCAGTCACAGCTTCTTTTCAAGATTTTAATCTTCTTTCTACTCTCCATCAACGTGAAAAAATGTTATGGAGATATATCTTAAGTCGCTTTGGAGAAATTATTCAATCATCTTTGGTATTTAAGGTCAGAGCTTTTTCGTTTTGCTTTTTTGGATTTAAATATATCCCCTGAGACAAAGACAAAGATGGTTTCGAATTTGAATATAGAAAGTAATGATATGGAAGTCAGTAGAGTATCAATAGATCGCTCAAAAATTACTGAAATCGTATACAAACATAGTAAAAATATTTTTAATCGTTTCAAATTGTGCGTTGACTTCTTGAAAATATGTCCCACAAAAAGGGCATAAATACCTTAGTTTTATTTTAGCAATCAAATTCAAATTTTATGAAAGAAATGGTTTTTTTCCAATATTTAGGGCTCTTGGGGCGCCATTTTCACTTATCCAATTGAATTAATATTTTACACAGATTATTTTTTTAGTAAAATGATCCGATCTGGGGGGTGCCGTCAAAACAATCTTTGAAAAAAACAATTGCCCATATAGCTTAATGCCACCCTAAAGCACTACTAAAGTACTCTAAACTTAGCCATACATGTTCGAATTCCAAATGATCAAAAAACGACACACTAGGTACCCAAAATTGAAGATTTTCAATCGATTCATGGTTTAGTTAGACTGCGCGCATATAAAAACTTATTGATTTACAGCTCAATATCTCAAGAATGAAGCCATATCTACATAAATTGCAGACCGCACCAGAAAGTTATAAGGCGTCCCAGAAATTGTAATCATACTGGATCTTGTCGTTTCTTATACATATATCAATAGTTAGTATAATTTTTAATACATATTTGACAAGCATGCGAGATTGTGTCAAAATTAGTTAGAAATGAAAATAAAAATTTTTCTTCAATTGTCAATATTAAATTAACAACTAACATACATTCGTCTTCATAGTTCTATTGCTGTAATACACCTGAGTTTCTTACGTGAGTTTCTTTCTTTACGGCGGATATTGTGAATTTTATCATGGCAAATTCGTCAAACTCAAATATGGGTGAGTAAATATTTTTTTCAATGTTGTGTGATGAGAGATAGAGAGATGTGAGTATTTTTGAGGTTATATTATATATAAGGGGCGGCATTAGTGTATCATAAATATGATTGAATTTGCTAAAAGTCTTCAAAAAATTTATATTTTACATTTATTTGATTAGTTTTTAAAATTTTTGCTAATCCCGGTTTTATGTGTTATGAAATATTTTATTATAGTAAAAAGTGTATACTTTTTTAGTCGCAAAATTGGTTTCTTTAAGAGTCAAGCATTTATTTTCTTCTTATGATTCGATTTCGTATTAAAAAATAAATTTCTTTTTTTTTCAGATAATGTGGTTAAATCATCCACTGAAAGTGGTTCAAGTAGTGAAGCATCCACTTTCACTGATGAAAAGGCTGATAAAAAGGTCAGAAAGTTTCAACCCGCACTCTTAGATGCTGCTGAACGTCGTCATTTTCTTCATGAGATGGTGAAAAGCTTCCCGCAATCAATAAAGGACCGTATAACGGTTTTGAAGAATATTCAGTTAGAACAAATTGCGATTGATTCTGAATTGTACAAGGAAATTAATAACTTGGAGGTAAAGTACGTTACCAAGTTTCAAAAGTTTTATGATCAGAGATTTGAAATAGTTTCTGGAAAATTTGATCCACCAGAGCAAGATCCAAAATGGAAGGAACCCCCTTGTGATGAAAATGCAAAAGGCGACCATGACCATGATCAAGCATTTAATGACTACAAGAACCTATCGAATGACTCCATCGGCATTCCTAGTTTTTGGTTAGAGGTGTTGCGCAGTGTGGATGTGGTTGGTCATTTGATACAGGACCATGACGTACCAATCTTGCGAAAACTGATCGATGTTAGAGAAAAATGCGGTAAAGAAGACTCTTTTGCTTTAGAATTCCATTTCGATCGCAATGATTACTTCACTGATGAGGTTCTTATAAAGAAATACTTCTTCAATATCGAGCCTAATAAAAAAATGCCGTTTCAATATGATGGGCCAATAATATGGAAGAGTGAAGGTTGCCTTATCCATTGGAAGAAAGATATGAATCTAACGTTAAAAACAGTGAAGGAAATCTCTAAAGATGATGCCAATAAAATGATATTTAAAAATGTTCCACGTCGGTCGTTTTTCCATTTCTTTAATCCACCGCTGGAACAGAATACAGAATCTATAGATAAAGATATGAAAGAGGTATTAAACATTGATTATGATTTGGGACTCGTATTTCGTTCACGTATCATATCTAGAGCAGTTTTATACTTCACCGGTGAACTGCCTGAACTTGATCCATGTGCATGTAATGAAGATGACTCGGAAAATGAAGAAACTGACGAATCGAATAATAAGAAGGATTTGAATGATTCAGATGAAGGGGGCGCTGCTGGAGGTGATGCTGGAGGTGATGCTGCTACTGCCTTCGATGGTGCAACTCATGATGCTAACCCATTATTGAGCAATCAATGTAAACCTCAATAAAATTTACTAACATTTAACTAAAATATTTCTTAACCACATATATATATCTCTTATAAAATGCATTTAAGAATTTCAATAAATTTCAAATTCATTTAGCTTGTTTTTTTTTTTTATTTTTTTGAAAGAAAATGTATATAAAAATAGTTGCTAGCATTGTTGTGATTTGAGTCCTGCAATACCTTATCTGTATTTCTTACTTAAATATTTCAACAGAATTCAACTATAACGACTGTAGTCAAATAAATTATATAGTAAGGTTTTGATCCTATTGGAATGAGGCTATGGATAATGCTCAACATTGTTCTGTGAGTGCTCTTGCTTTGAAGAGGTATAGTGCTCATCTCTTGCCTATGCGCGGAACCCATAGTTGTTGACAGTAAGGTTCTTTAGCAGTTCATGTTATTTTTATTATTAGCCTAATGACACCTCAGCGTACTCTTGGGATCAATCTTATGTCTTGAATCAATCAACAAGTGCTGATTGAACAGTAGAGAACCACGGAGCATTGTGAATATCAATCTGTGTGAATCAAGCTAATCTTAATTTTTCTATTAGTACGAAATATAGCAAATATTTTAAAGGTTTTATAATATACGGTAAATAATAATAAACGGTATTTGATTGAATATAATACTGTTGCCAAATGCATTCTTCAAACATGGTGAAAACTTTTCCTAAGGCGATTCAAAATCGCATTACAGTTTTGAAGAATGTTCAAATTGATCAAAGTGCGATAGACTCTGAATTCTACAAGGAAATTCGAGGAAATTAACGATTTAGAGATAAAGCACACCGCCAAGTGTCAACAGTTTTATAATCAGAGATTTGAAATAATTTCTGATAAGTTTGATCCAAAAATGGAAGTAAGTTTGAAGCAAAATGGAAGGAACCCCTTAATGATGAAAATGCAAAAGGCGACCATGACCATGACCAAGCATTTAAAGACTACAAGAACCTATCGGATGACTCCATACCTAGTTTTTAGTTAGCGGTATTGTGCATTGTAGATGATCCAGGTGAATAAAATGTTGTCTAATATTTCTTTATGTATTTTTCATTATTTGTGTCGTCTACATAACAACTATACGATATACCCAATATAGAATATCAGTGCAATTATACCATACCCATTTAAAAACTTCCGATTAAATATTTTCTTAGTTTTAAAGGACAATGTAAAGACTGCATGGCTGTATGGCTGCATGGCTGCATATCTTATCTTATGTTACTCTCAAGTAATTCACTGCATATTCATTTACAGGATAGGCCGCTACATATGTATTATTAAGGTTTATATGAAAGGAGTGCTTTTAAACAACATAATAGATTAATAACAGAAATAACTACAGGATATAATGTCGTGTGTTCCATTGTTATCGACCAAGGTACATGAAATCGTTTTCCATTCATTTGATCATTTGATAGACATAGAGACGGTTACGGATCATAGTGGAAATGCGTAATCTATACACCTCTTATCTCTTAGCACCTATCTGTAGTATTCTTTTGGAATTATTTTCAATTTTGAAAAATTATTGCAAAATATTTTAGATGAATTATGTTATACAAATATACAAATACAAATATACTTCTAATCATATTTTCTATTCTATAGAAATTTATTTCATAAAAATTTTGGAACAATTACAATATTTGAAAAAAAAAATAATAAAATTAAACACTCAAACTGCATTCAAGCATTCAGAATGTTTTATTTTAAATCTGCACTTGTAACCTCTTCTTCATTCTCTTCTTTCGAACCACTTGATTTGATTGGAACCACTTCTGGAACACTTGATTTTAAATCTGCACTTGTATCGCCTGCTTCATTCTCTTCTTTCGGACGACGTGAATTGATTAGAACCTCTTTTGGAACGCTTGATTTTAAATCTGCACTTGTATCGCCTGCTTCATTCTCTTCTTTCGAACTACTTGATTTGATTGGAACCACTTCTGGAACACTTGATTTTAAATCTGCACTTGAATCGCCTACTTCATTCTCTTCTTTCGGACGATATGAATTGATTGGAACCTCTTTTGAAGTGTTTGATTTTAAATCTGCACTTGTATCGCCTGCTTCATTCTCTTCTTTCGAACCACTTGATTTGATTGAAACCACTTCTGGAACACTTGATTTTAAATCTGCACTTGTATCATCTGTTTCATTCTCTTCTTTCGGACGACGTGAATTGATTGGAACCTCTTTTGGAGTGTTTGATTTTAAATCTGCACTTGTATCGCCTGCTTCATTCTCTTCTTTCGAACCACTTGATTTGATTGGAACCACTTCTGGAACACTTGATTTTAAATCTGCACTTTTATCGTCTGCTTCATTGTCTTCTTTCGGACGACGTGAATTGATTGGAATCTCTTTTGGAACGCTTGATTTTAAATCTGCACTTTTATCGTCTGCTTCATTGTCTTCTTTCGGACGACGTGAATTGATTGGAACCTCTTTTGGGACGCTTGATTTTAAATCTGCACTTGTATCGTCTGCTTCATTTTCTTCTGTCGGACGACATGAATTAATTGGAACCATTTCATTAAGTAGCTTGCTTTGAAGACTTGATAATTTATTTTTCAGTTCCCGTACACCCATAAGCACAATATTTTCTGGTTTTAAAGCACCTGTGGTCTCCACATTAAAATAAATTTTGTTCGGTTCGGTGTCGAATTTGTATGCTGCCTCGAACTGTTCATCAGTCAGTTCGGTATGTTCACTTTTTGGCCACTCCTTTGGTTGAGGGTAAGTAGTATGACGGAATTCATTATCGGGATCATATTCGAAGCATACGCCGCCTGTTGGATTCCACTTAGCATGTTCTCTTCCAATACCTTTCTTAGCCATGGCACATAACTTAAGCTCTTGACCTTTTCGTAATTTCACAATTAAAATACTGTCTTCATATATATCATTTTTATTATCTTTTTCGTCTACTTCGTTCTCTTCTTTCGGACGACGTGAATTGATTGGAACCACTTTTGGAATGTTTGATTTTAAATCTGCACTTGTATCATTTGCTTCATTCTCATCTTTCGGACGACGTGAGTTGATTGGAACTACTTTTGGAACTCTTGATTTTAAGTCTGCACTTGTAACATAACGAGTTTTTTCGGCATCGCACTTTACATCGAGTGTAAATTCCACACTACAACTATCACAAAAATCTGAACAATCGCAATTCCGCCAGAACTTTAGTTGCTTTACCATATCATCAGAGATTAATGGTATTAACCCAAGACGGTGGGCAATGAATTCATCTGAAAGAACTGACGAATTTTTCTCTATTTGAACCCAATCGATAGCAAGCGTTGGGGTTTCAGCAATGAATACACGGCGTAAGCTATTGGCGACGCTCAAATCAGTGCCTTCCACAACGAATTTGACATTTTCCTTCGTCAATTCCTTGATTTCGACTGTAGGTTGATTTCCGTACGGCATTGCAATATTTTTATGAATTTTCAATGTTAAAATAAAGAAAATCCTCGTGGCGCAAACTACTAATGCAACTAATGCTTTTTACTGTCAGAATGAAAATTATTTAGAGTTGCCAGTTCACGCAAATAAAATAAATTGCATAGAATAATAAATAAGATTGTTGTTTTGGCGCGTTTTGGCGAAACAAGACACTCCAACTGCGGACGCTCCGTTTTTATCTAAATTTAAATCTAAAATTTAAAGAAACAATTTTAAATAAGTGCACACAAAGATTAAATAATACACGTACACTCTAGTTGTCGCGATCCGTGTCAGCAAAAGTGCGGTTTGTGTGATTAAATTGCAAAATATACTTCTAAATTTTGGTTTTAATAAAAAACAAAAAAAATCAAAACAAATTAATCAAAAGCAATAAAATTGCTGAAAGTTACTAATACTTTCAAAACAGCTGATAGAGACAGCATTTGTTTGTTTATTTTTTTAACGAAAGTTGCAATTTATAAAAGTGGCGTTGCCACAGTGTATATTTTTAATTCTTTTGTAAAAATTTAATATTCTATATATATACTATATAATCAGTGATCATCAAACTAAAAAATTTTATTCTTTTAATATTTAATTTTTTATGAACAATTGTAAAAGTAATATACGAAGACATTCACTAATAAGTGAAAATGGCCTAAATGGCTACATAACATTTAATGCAGAAGACATTAAAATAAACGATCAACCTATAAACAAAACTATAGGTAAATCGAATACCGAAATAAACATTAAAAAAACCGCTAGTGAGATTGCTATAGCAAATAAAATTAAATTAATTAGTAATAAAAATAATAATTTAAACAAAATTTCTCCAAACAGTACAAAAGATATAGATCCATACGAAATTAACATGTCCACAAACACCAGCCACACTAATGACAAAAATAATGAAGCTCTTAATAAAAAAATGAGAGAATTAGAAGTCTTATGCGGCAAACTTCATCAAGAAATTATCCAACTCAAAAGTGAAAACCAAAAATTAAGGTCGCAACTTATTAACAATAATGTTCCGAAAGAGCAAACCACCATAACTTTCGAAACAGACGAGGAAGAGCTTGCCCGTGAAACCGACTGGATCGTTAAAAGAAATAATAAAAGAGCCTCAAAAAAGCGCAAAGCTACTACATCTCCAAGTGTGTCACCAACTCTCAACAATATGACACAAAAGCATTCTAAAGAAACGGAAAAGACATCAACCCAGCTTCGTCCACCTCCAATTATGGTAACTGTCTCTGATAATTACAATCACATAAGAAAAATTATTACAAAGGAAAGCAAAAATAAATTTTTGCTGAAACTAATGAATAACGACTTATGTAAAATTAGCACTTTCGATGGTAACGATTATCGGGAAGTAACTCGAGCTCTAAATGAAGCAAATCTCTCATGGCACTCTTATGAACATAAACAGCTTAGACCAATAAGAGTTATAGCAAAAAACCTGCATCACTCATGCGACCCTACAGATATTGTTGGCGACCTTGCAGAAAAGGGTTTTAAAATTGTCAGCGCAATTAATAAGCTACAATTTAAAACTAAGAAACCACTGGATATGTTCATATTATCCTTTGAGGCAGTAGAAGATACGAACAAAATCCATGAAATCAAAGAAATCTTAAATACGATAGTATCTATAGAAACAATAAAACCCTCTAAAATTATCCCGCAGTGCACCAAATGCCAATCTTTCAACCATACCAAAAACTACTGTCAAAAGCAGCCAAGGTGTGTGAAATGTGCAGGTAAGCATGAAACCATAAATTGTGAAAAACCCGATGATAGTCACCCAAAATGTTGCAACTGTGGGGAGCAACACCCAGCGTCATATCGCGGTTGTGTAGTCGCAAAAGAGCTTCAAAAATTAAGAGACCAAAAAACAAAAAAAGTTCCTGTCCCAGTTCAAACAGATAATATCGAAAGACCAATAATATACTCAAGTCGAAGAATCGCTAAAGTATCATATGCAGACGCTATTAAGCCAACAACCTCCGTAGCCCAAAAAATAAATATATCTGATGAATCACAAAATGTCCTCTCTGTTATTCTTGAAAAACTAATGGCAATAGAAAATCGCCTAGACAACTTAGAACAAAAACATAATTGCACATCTGTATGATTGCTCTTAAAATTATGGAATGGAACGCAAATGGTTTGCTTCAACACAAAAACGAATTAGAATTACTTCTGCTAACAGAAAATATAGACATATGCCTAATAAGCGAAACTCATTTTACAAAAGAAACGTATATCAATTTTAAAAACTATAATATTTATCATACTATTCATCCAAGCAATAATGCTAGAGGCGGAAGTGCTGTTATAATTAAATCCAACATTAAGCATTATCAAGATAATAAACTCTCTAATGAAGAGTTCCAGGCAACAACCGTTGCAGTTGAAGAGAGTGGTTCCAAAATACAAATAACGTCCATCTATAGTCCACCAAGACATAACGTAAAATATGAACAATACGTAGATCTATTAAAATTACACAATCATAAAGCAATAATTGGTGGTGATTTTAACGCAAAAAATGTTCAATGGGGGTCAAGACTAAATACCACAAAGGGTAAGGAATTACTTAAAGCATGTCGGGCCACAGGTTTTGAAGTTCTCTCCACTGGCTCTCCAACATACTGGCCAACTGATAGAAATAAATTACCAGATGTCATTGATTTCTTTATTGTAAATAAAATTCAAAAAAGAGACATTGAAGTTAAAGCAGGACTTGACTTAAATTCTGATCATTCTCCAATATTGCTTACTTATGGATGTAATATTCTATCTATGATACCTAAACCGACACTAACAAACCGTCTAACAGACTGGAATTATTTTAAGGCCCAGATAAATGAAAATATTGACCTATCCTGCAAAATACGAAGTATAAATGACCTAGAGAGTGAAACGCATTGCTTTACAAGCTTGATTCAAATATCGGCATGGCGCAGTTCTCCACTGCAGAATAGTAAGCAATTTGATAAAAACTATCCGGTCGAAATTTTAAATCTAGTCTATAATAAAAGAAAACTACGTAAAAAATGGCAACAATCACGATTAATACAAGATAAAAGAAACCTTAATAATGCCACTCAAAAATTAAGAAGAGAAATCAGTAATTTTAAAAATGAAAATGTTAAGAAATATCTTACAAACTTGACATATGATAGCAAAACTAACTATTCTCTCTGGAAAGCTATGAAAAAATATAAAAGACCGATCACTCATAATCCTCCATTAAAAAAAGATAATAATGAATGGGCGAAAAGCAATATTGAAAAGGCACACGTTTTGGCTGAATATTTAAGTAATACCTTCAATCAAGAAGAAACCCATCATATAGAGCCAAATAACAACATAGATGATGAAGCTATTTTGCGGATAAAAAATAAAGAAGTAACTGGGGAAATCAAAAAATTGAAATTAAAGAAATCACCAGGATATGACCTCATAACTAGTGAAGTGTTGAAAAAGCTACCTCCAAAAGGAGTAGCCAAACTTGCACAGATATTTAATGCGAGTATAAAATTAAATCATGTCCCTAACTATTGGAAAGTTGCTGAAGTGGTGATGGTACTAAAACCAAATAAGGACCAACATTCTCCAACTTCATATAGACCAATCTCTCTCCTGCCAACCATAGGAAAACTGTTCGAAAAGCTTATCTGTAAAAGACTTGAAAAAGTAGTTTGTCAAAGAAATCTTATCCCAAATCATCAGTTTGGATTTCGGAAAAAACACTCAACAATCGAACAAGTACACAGAGTTACGCACGAAATAGAAAAGGCATTAGAAAACAAAGAAACTTGTTCAGCTGTGTTTCTGGATATATCAAAGGCTTTTGATGGGGTTTGGCACTCTGGCCTGATATATAAGTTAAACACTATCCTGCCACAGCAATATTGTAAACTACTGGAATCGTATATTGGCGAAAGGTACTATCGAGTTAAACTACTTGACGCGTATTCGAAATTATATCCTATAAATCGCGGGGTCCCTCAGGGGAGTATACTAGGCCCATTGCTGTACCTGCTGTACACATATGATTTGCCAGTGAATCCAAGATGTATTGTTGGAACTTTTGCAGACGACACGGTATTAATGGCTACAGGTCCAAACAACAAGGTGTCTACCACTAAGCTTCAAATCGCTCTACAAGAAATTGAACAATGGACAAATAAATGGAAGCTGATAGTAAACAGTTCAAAATCTAATCATGTAGACTTTACTAACAAAAGAGAAAATCAAATTGCATTATTTCTAAATAGCGTTAAAATTCCAGTTGCAAATTCTGCGAAATATCTAGGTATGACTCTAGATGCCAAACTGAGATGGAAGGTACACGTCAAGAAAAAATTAAATGAACTAAAAATAAGATACAAAAAGTTAACTTGGCTTATTGGAAGGAGATCTAAATTATCTCAGCAAAACAAGCTTATGATCTATAAACAAGTCTTCAAGCCGGTCTGGCTCTATGGCGTCCAAATCTGGGGTTGTGCGAAGAAACATATAATAGATATGATGCAAAGATTTCAAAACAAAGCAATCAGAGATGCAGTTAACGCTCCGTGGTACGTGCGAAATTCTGATTTACATCGTGACCTAAAAATACCTACTGTCAAACAAGAAATTCAGAAGGCTGCTAAAAAACATTATGACAGGCTGAGACAACACTTAAACAGCACCATTCCAGCGCTACTTTGTGATGTCACTCACAGACGCTTATGCCGCTTCAAACCTAATGACCTTTTGAGGCGTTTCAACCAGCAAGGTGATGACTAGTTCGTATCTATATGCTCACCCTAGATAGACTTAGATAAATTTACTTGTAATAAAAAAAAACCTCTTGTTAGTCAATATGACTAGTTGTTGTAAATTTAAACTCTTCATTTTGTTTAAATATAAATAAAAAAAAAAAAAAAAAAAAAAAAAAAAAATAATAAAAACAATAAGACCTTATTCAGATGTTGGAATATAATGAAACATATACACGAATTGGTGTTTGTAATTAAGTAATTTAAGAATTATAA